GTGTCAAGATTATAATATTATATTGCTGTTCAAACGAGATATTCTATACACTGGAAACGTAGAGTACATTTTACTTTGTCTTTGTCTCAAGCAAAAAAAGTATAAAGATTAAACAGACATTCAAAAAATACAACAACCACGAACATCTCGTAATATTTCTTCGGGGAAATCTTCAAGTTTCAATGGAAATCTGGCGCATGCGCAACAAATTTCCTAGCCTGCATGGCAGGCGGTCTTGCCCAATTTTAGGAACCGCCTGCCATGCAGGCTACAAATTTCCCAGCTGTTCAAAATGAATTCAAAATTAAGGAAATTTGAAGGAATTTGCAATTAAATTTGAAGGAATTTGCTTAATAAGCATGGTCACAGAATAGATATAGGGGCATGGTATCCATTTGGTTGTAATTGCGACTAAATCACAGTATAGGAAAAGTACAGTAGGGCCACTCAGCGTAAAAAAGTGTCTACATTGTTTACTGGCTGCCAACCTTATTTACATATTGGCAGCCAGTAAATGGCAGCAGTCCACTATAAAATTGTACTACAGAATAATGATTTTGGCCGCGTAAGACACCTGGAACCTAGCTTAAATAATTGCCACTTTTCTCTCCCCTAAGTGGCCCTACTGGTTGTCTCCCTATACTGTGACTAAATCATGGTCGCTGATGTGAAATAGTCTGAATTTATCTTGTCTTCTGTGCAGGGCTCGACCGGGGCCCCGGCCCCGGCCAAAATTGGCACCCCCGGCCCGGCCCGGCCCCGGCCAAAATTCTGGAAATTTGGCCGGGGATTTCAAACTCAAATTTGTCAAATTCTTTCTATTATTATCTTATAATTGTCAAGATTCAGGGAACCTTAGCAAAACTAAAAACTAGTAAAAACGTAGTAAAAACGTAGTAAAAACTAAGTAAAAGTTAAAACAGTTTAAAAAAATCGACAAAATTATATCGAAAGCAACGAACAGAAAAGATACGTACCATTTAATCATTTATTCTCGTAAAATGTTTCCAATATGGCTGACGATAACAATAAACCGCTGTCCAGTAAATTCCACTGGCCTTTCCAAATCTCGCTTAAATAACATCGCTCAACATCACATAATATCAATGTTCGACCCAATCTCGTACTCAGAGCAATGCCTGTGCTGGGGCTAGGATGGCATTGGCTCTGGGGAAATTGAATTTTTCTTGTGCTGTGATTGGTTTAACGTTTATCAATCGTGCATGCCGACAAAGAACCGGAACCCCTAAATTTAGGGGTTCCGGTTGTCAATTTC